GGAAAGGGCAAAAAATGGAAAGGCAGAACTGGCAACTGATCAACTGATGACAGTAGTCAAGACATCAAGTCTTGCTTTTGTGCTTTTCCTTTGCCTGGATTCATTTTAGTTCTAGTTATTAGTTTTTCTTTTTTCTTTTTTTTTCCAAATTACATCTTATTTGAAAGCACTAAAATAGGAACACATAAATAACTAAAATACAAACTTGCTGCTGACAGCTGGCCTGTCAGACTGCGAAGGACTGAAATTTCTTCTTATCTGTATTTATGAGTTTAAGAATAGCCTGTGTTTCCTTGGGTACTTGCTGTTGTTCCCTTTACTATTAGGGACTAAAAAAGCTGCAACGGTGCCAAAAGGTTTTACTGAAGTCAAGACAAGCTAAGAGATCCAATAAGCATTCAACACAAGTCAACAGTTACACCCTCATGTTCCAGGATTAATTAGCCCTAAGTGTTTCACTGAAATCAATACTAATTTGACACATGGATGCATTCTTAGCCAGGACAAACCATACCATTAACAAAGCACAAACATCTGCTATACATCAATAATCCCAACCTCCCCAAGGTTTTATAAAATAAGGCCAATAGGCACTTTAAATACCAGGGGCTTATGATTAAAACACTTTTTATGATACCTTGCCACAAAACAACGTATGTATTAGTATTGATTGCTCATTATAATTGCCGTATGTGCCGTGACTATGAGCACATCCAGCATCCTAACTTCCCTAATCTCTGAATTTGTGTTTACGGGGTTGTTTTATAGCCAAATAAAGCAGGTTGAGTCTCAGGTATCCAGGGCCTATTTCATACTTGCTTCTCGTCTAGCAGAAGTTGTCACCGTAGACCCGACCTGTTGACTTTGGCAAAGCCGTCGAGGCACCTTAGCTGTGTCCAGGGGACCGGGTCGCAGGGCGAGGAATCACAGTCACTGCTCCTGCACGAACACCAAGATTTCACACATTAGAGACAGACGAGACGGGGAATAAAACGCCTCAGGTCTAAATCTCAGGTCTAAGCATGATGGCGAGAGCTAAAGAACACTGAGATCCCGTGAGGGAAACGAATCTCTCAGTGTTCAAAACTCACAGCAATTTTAGCACAAAGGGATGGAAAAAGAACATTTAACTGGCATACATTTAACTGTCCATTTGGAAAAGGCTAGAAGTCAAGCCTGATTTTAGGCACTTCTTGCCACTGTTTAGAAATACCTTGATCTGCTGCAGTTCCAGGTGGTGATCTAGGAAGGGGATCTAGAAGGTGGTCTAGGATGGCACATTCCTGATGACTGTCAGGGACAGGCTGTCACCCTGAGGGGAGCTCCTGCCTTGGCCAACAGCACAGAACTCCACACGACATATTGTGAACCTGCAAGTACTTGGAAAATCATCCAAGTATCTACTCTGTAGGTAAGAGGATCTTGGAGGATCGTGGAGAAATGAAGAGCTCTGAGGAAACTGGTTAACAGACACAGAATAACTAGGAGAGAGACCACTGGGGTATCAAAACTAAGTCGACTGAGTCTTGCCTGATTTTGCAAAGACTGGGGAACAAAAACTTAGTTCTGAGCTGTGATACTTCCAACTCTAAGTACTTTCTTGCACCAAGCTTGCCCCTAAGTTAACAATTTTCTAAAAATTATTCCACCCTGGAGTTTTAGAGCTTTAGCATAGGCAGTTCCAAACAACTATTCAATGTGGCGATATTGTTTGTTAGTTTTGTGCTGACATAATTGTGATACGTTTCTATTCTTAAACCAGGTGTTTTTACCTGTGCAAGTCAATATTCTGGTTCAAGTACTATGTTTATAAATTCAGATTTCAAATTTTAGCGGAATATTTGCTCATGGAAACAGTAGCCCAAAAGGTTTAATTTCTGGTTTGTTGCTTGACACGACATGATAAATTCTTTTGTCTTTCATTACTGAATCATCTTGTCATGTGTAACAAAAAACACCAAAAAAGTCACATCATACAAACCAATGAGCCAGAACAAACTTAGTTTTATAGATCTAATTTACCAACAAGGTTTAGCTGGGTAATTTAGCACAGGCAGTCTGTATGGCAGACTAGGTCTATCACTCCCTGCCATTCTAACATTAGCTCGTATCAAATCATTTTTGGCCTTCGACAGCCAAAATAAAGCCACCTTACAGCCACAAGGCCAATGTCAACTCTGTTATGGGCTGGGGCTGCTGCCATGGGGGCCTGACCTGGGTCAGATGGTTCCCACTGGCCAGGGAAGCAGGGCCTCCTTCCCCTCAACATTAATGGAGAACCACAAGGGCTGAATGTTCTTCACGCACCTGAGAGCTTCTCTTACCAGCTCTTTGGCTTTGACGCATCATATTTGTGTCTTTAAAAGCAGATCCAAACACTCATAAGGGAGTTTTGAATATCCCTAAGCTGTAACAAGGTCTGTAATTTTCTCGAAGTCTGCTTAATAGCAGCCATTTACACTTGTGGCACAACAGTATCTTGCAGTGGTTTATCCTATCTATTTAGGGAGAAGTAATCTTCTAAACACTGATTATTAAGGTCAGTTTGTGGTTTAATGAACATTTTTAGAAGAGTCAAAACATTTTTTAAAAGTATAAAGGTAAAAAAGAAAGCAAACCAAACATAATGTAAAAATCCGTAGTGACTTCTAAATCTGAGCTAAATTTCCAATACAAACTTTTAACCCAAGCATTCAGCTGGGGCTTGAACTACTGAAATAGGTTTTAGGCCAGTTCTTCTAGTTCAGAAAGTGGTGAAAGCTACTGGAAGCAGTTGAAAAAAAAATTATCTTGATTAAGCAGAACTAGCTGCAAATATAAAGGTGGAATGAGGAGGAAGGCGGCCTCACAAATGGAAAACCACTCAGCTTAGCTCCAAGGTTTGGGCAGGTAACAAAATTCCCAACATATAAACCTTCCAAAATCAGGTGATTTAATAAGCAGCCTATCAAGAAGTCACTGTGAATTTCTGCAGAACAGGAGGAAGAGCTTGTTCAGACAGCAGCACTGCTGAAAGGGATCTGGGGATTATCAGAAAAGAAGCTGTATCAACACTTGGATGTTATTGCAAAGTAGGCAAATTCCACACTAAGAGTGGTTAACTAATTACCCTGATTACTGGATATAGAGGTAAGGAAAAGTGTCATCGAGTTGAAAAGAGTGCAGCACAGACAAAGAAGGATAAAATATTTGGAAAATACCACTTACAGGGAGTTTTCCATAATGTGTTTAGTCTAGGAAAAAAAAGTTGTTTACAGGAGTGCCACAATTATACTATGTGAAATATTACACTATCTAAAATCAGTATCTAAAATGTTACTGTAAATTGATGGTGATTAACTGTTTCCACATCTGGTGGATATCAGACAATATATATATATATTATATATATATATATATGTATATTTTATATATATATATATATATATAAAATTCACACCCAAATAGGGCAGTTTGGACAGCAGAACAACTTCCTCATTCTAAGGGCAGTTAAGTGCCAAAACATGGCCGGTCTCTCTCCCTAGGAAGATTTCAGGCCCTCTGTTGCTACAGGTTTTTAGGAAGGGGTCACCCTGATTTTGCCAGGGATGAAGCTGTGTCTCCGAGCAGCAGTCCTAAAGGCAACATTAATAAATGCTTCATGCTTTTCTTACCAATATGCATATATATTCGGAAACCCTGACAGAAATTGCACTGATTAGTTAAGCTGAACCCAGGAAATATTTTTCCCTCCTCAGAGCAGAGATCTGAGTCCGAGATGTCACCCTAAGCGTATCTAAAACCCGTGGCCCAGCCACAGGAAGATCCCGGCCGCTTCAAGTGAGGCGCAGTCCAACTGACCTGACAAACAACAGCTAAAACCACAATCCTGAAAAATCCCTGCCCAGTCCTTGCCCAATCCCAGCAGCAACTACCCCCTAAATCACCCAATTTTTACATTTCCCAACTACACCAGTCTAGGCCCCACAGGAGTGGGTCAGGAGGCCGCACGTGGTGGCTCCTGCCCGGCCCTGGGGAGCGTCACGGCCCCGGAGGCTGGGGCTGCTCTGGGGAAGCACATTTAATGCCTGGCGCTTTTAAAACGCAATTTGCTAGTGGTTAGTCACATAAATAAAACCTCCTTGCAGAAAACGGATTTAATTCTCTCCCTGCCTAAAGGGTTTTGTTTTGTTCCCCCCCTCCCACAC